TGCAGTTCCCACTATCTCCGAATCACACACAAATGTTGATTTTTTTTAGTTTTTAAGAAAAATATATCTGAGCTTCAGGTGGACAGTGGCTTTGAAAGCTTTCAGAGACTGCTGTTTCTTTTGTTTTAACTCAAGTTTTCTATCCAGTTATTGCATTGTTGAAAGTTGAGAGAAAAAAAATCCCAGTTGATAAGTAATGTGTAAATATTCCTAGAAGTCATGAAACTAAATGTTTTAACCAGTGACTTTGGAATTCAAGACAGACATACAGTTCTACTTGTCTATAAACAACCTGTTTCCTAGTGATTCCTAAGTCACTTGAAACTGTTTATTGAACTGGCAAATTGCAATTTTTATTTTATTTATCCCTAAAAACTGTCTGAAGGGTCTAGGGCTTATGATTTAAATTAGATTATCTTGTTGCTTATCTGTGCTGTTAAAAAAGTCACATGGAGCAAAAATTAAAGTTATAAACTTGTGTCAAAGATCTGTTATTCATGAAGACTGGTTAGGAACACTTAGTCGAGAGGGTGTTAAAATGCTTTAGTTGCACTGTGCTGCAAATCCAGCGATGGTGAGGCTGATTTGGTTTGGTTTGCTATCCTGGTGTTGGAACACAAACAATTACACAACTGGCAGTAACCCCTCCTTGAACAGGGCCCCATCACATTAGAATGGGAAGTTTATTCTTGCATCTCTCCAAGAGGGTTCAGATAGTCAGAGGACTCATTTTGTTAAAGCCAACTTCACGCATTTCCAAAATAAAGCAAAGTTAACATTCAGTTTCACGCAATTGATTCCAGCCAATTGACAGCTCAAAATACCCAAAATAAACTTCGTTCCAATGTGCTTGATGGAACCTGCCAGATGTCTGTTCACAGCAGGTGAAACCATTGTCTAAGCTCAGGCAAGAACAGAAGAGCAGGATGCAGCATTGTAAAGATTTTTAAAAAGTGGCTTTTTATTCATTATACATTTTCAAACATTTCCATTCTAGCCTTTAAAATTGTTTAAATGGCAATTAAACACTGAACCATGAATATAATTTATCTATAAAGAAATATCTAACTTGATTGTATAAAAAAAAAGATAGTATTTCAGTCCTCATTGAGCAGGATGAAGAACAGATTGTGCTAACAAATGCATTGATGCTTAAAATGGTGGGACACATTCACCTCCCGACTAGGTCAGGACACAAGTCAATAAAATCAGTCAGAATTGGACCGCCAGAAAGCCTTTCAGGAGAAGTTAGAAGAAGAGTTCAAAGGAGGAAAAGCACAGGCAGAGATTATCGCTTGGTGTTCACCCAATGATAACGGTCCACACGAGGAAACAGGAACATGTTGGATGCTCGGTACACTCTGTAATTGCCCTGGAATGAATGGCAGCTGTAATCTTCAGGAAACATCTTCTTTCGGAGAAACTTGGGCCATACAGCTGGAGGGTGGCTGTAGTAATCATTTACCTGCAAAGGCATAGTTTTAAACAGCTTTAACATTTAAAGCAGAGGAAGTTACTGGTGAGAAGATCACAAACAGGTCTTTAGCCTCACGTTTATTTTGGACACACTCACCTCAGTGAAATTATTGAGCAAATATGGTTCGAAGAGTCTATGGAACACATCTGCTCAACCTCAAGAGCCACAACCTCGGACCAGTTTTAATCTGGTTTTGCCCACCCAAGTTCTAGCCCCATTGATCTTCACCACTGTCACCTTTGTGACCCTGTCAGGGCCTTCTTCAGAAAAAGGTCCACATAGACCACAACCATTCCATTCTCCAAACCAAATCCTCCTCAAGAAGGGAACCTTTAGCTTGCTCAAGCAGATTTCTCCAAAATCATTTATCCATTCAAAAAAATTTAAATTTCATCTCTACTTATCAATTTCACCTTTAGAAATAAAAATGGTGGAAAAAGTTCCCCTCCCTCCAACAAGGTTCTGACTGTCTCTGCTAATGTGTACATTGCCCAAAATAACATCACATTTCCTTCCAAATGTTGGGACCTGGTGCCCAATGATTTTCCTCTGGGTTAAGCTTCCATAGTGCTTTATTTACTCCTGAAGGTACAAGAGAAGGCCACTCAGCCCTTTCAACCTGCTCCACCATTCCATACCATCCCAGTTGATCAGATTTTAATCTCAACTCTACATTCCTGTATATCCAATAATTTTTCATCCTTTAGTCATCAAAAATCTACTTCTGCCTTAAAAATATTTAAAGATTCTGCATGCTCTGTTTTTGAGGCTTGAAACTCTTTAGAAGTCCCTTCCTCAAAAGGCAAAGGTTCTTCCTAAGGCTTAAAAGGGCACACATTTTTAAACTATGACCTGAATTCTAGATTGTCAAGAAGAATCATCTTTCAACATCCACCTGGTCAAGTCCCCTCAGGATCTTACGTTTTGACTAAGTTACCCCTGACTCAATTCCACCTGATAGAGATCTAGCCTTTCCTCAAAAGGTAATCCATTCATTCTAGGTATTTTATTAGTCTAGTAAACCTTTGCTAAACTCCTTCTAGTGCATTCATATTCTTTAAGTACAGTAATCAGTACTCCACACAGTACTCCAGATGCAATCTCCCTACTTCTGCCTTAAGTTCCCTTCAATCAATCATAACATTCTATTAGCTTTCCTGATTAGTTGCTGTACCTGCATACTGGCCTTCTGAGATTCGTGCACTAGGACACCCAGAGCTCATTAAAATCGCTCACCAATTAGATAATATGTTTTCTTAAAAAGTCTTTCTGCCAAAGTAAACAGTTTGATACTTTTCCACCTTGTCCATATCCCTTTATATCCTCTTCATAACTCACATTAGTATCTATTTTTATATCAATTTTAGTTACCATACCTTTAGTCCCTTCATCCAAAAATCTTTTGTATAAATTGTAAAGAATTGAGACCCTAGCAATGAGCAATAATCAGATTCCAGCCAGTCTGTTTGTCTCTCTCAGGACAGCAATCACTTCTGAATGGATACATCAAAGGCAACTTCAACCCTTCAATTTCTCACCTTCCTCATTAAAAAATGGGAGGGCATTTGTCAGCAAAACAAGTTACTCACTAGCAGCTTGACAATTTTAAAACATATCTAAGCAAAAAAGAAGTTCAATATCAAAGTGAGGATTGGCATAAAGACTATTACAAAGTGACTGAGTGACATTTAATATATGATGTTAGAAATGTTTATAAGCTCCAGGAAGCTGGGAACAGAACATTTGCAGCTTTCCTGACCCCGAACCCCACCCCCACAACGTACCTGATAGATACTCTTTGGGTTAATCACTGTCGGAATGGTTTGCAATCCTGGACCAGGGCTCCTGCGGCCTTTGAAGCTGGTACATACTTCCAACTGGTATATACTGTTCGGGTTGTTCACAATTGGTATGGTCTTTCTTTCCGAGAGGACAGAGAAGTCTTCCTGATCCCCAGCTGGATAACCAGCACGGGTGTCACTGACAGAGGTGGTATTTGGTTCCTTGTAGCCTTCCTCATCAGAAGAGGTTCCAGAATTATATTCACAGCCTGCACGCTCTGCAGCACTGCTGATGTCTTTAAAAATTTCCAAGTCTGTATTATTTTCCTCTAACCTGGTCACAATGAAAGGCTGGTTCTTCTCTCCACATCTGCAGCAGAATTTTAAAAAAGAAAAAAAAAGTTACACCACTTGCTTCACTATGAACAAGGCCAGGCAGGAATGGGGTATCCTGGAAATTCCACACAATGTCATTATCAATTCAAATCAGTGAAAAGGACAGACTGGGGTGTTCAAATCTTGTTCTACCATGTACCCTTTGGAAATAAGTTTTATTCTTATCAAATGTTGTTATTTTGTTAGTGTAGCCAACTGTTACAAAAAGTTTCTATTGCAAACATAGAAGAAAGGAGCAGGAGGAGGCCATTCAGCCCTTCAAGCCTGCTCCTCCATTCATCACGGTCATGGCTGATTGTCCAACTCAATAGCCTAATCCTGCTTTCTCCCCATAACCTTTGATCCCATTCACCCCAAGTCCTACATCTAGTTGCCTCGAATATTTTGACATCACTTCCTTTGGTAATGAATTCCACAGGCTCACCACTATTTGGCTAAAGAAATGTCTCCTCATCTCAGTCCTAAATGGTCTACCCTGAATCCTCAGATTGTGACCCCTGGTTCTGAACACACCCACCATCGGGAACATCCTCCTTGAATCTACTCTGTCCAGTCCCTGTTAGAATTTTATAAGTCTGAGATCCCGCTCATTTGTCTGAACTCCAGTGAAAACAATCCCAACCTAGTTAGTCAAATCGCTCCTCATACGTCAGACCCACCATCCCTGGAATCAGCCTGGTAAACCTTCACTACACTCCTGACAGCAACAGCACCTTCCTCAGAAAAGGAGACCAAAACTGTACACAATATTCTACGTGTGGCCTCACCAAGGCCCTGTATAACTGCAACAACACATCCCTGCTCCTGTACTCGAAACCTCTCGTAATGAAGGCCAACATACCATTTGCCTTCTTTACCGCCTGCTGCACCTGCATGCTTACCTTCAGTGACTGGTGCACAAGGACACCCAGGTCCCACTGCACACTCCCCTCTCCCAATTTACAGCCATTCAGGTAGTAATCTGCCTTTTTGTTTTTGCTTCCGAAGTGAATAACCTCACATTTATCCAAATTATACTACATCTGCCATTGATTTGCCCACTCACCCAACCTGTCCAGGTCATGCTGAAGGATCTCTGCATCCTCATCACAGTTCACCCTCCCACCCAATTTGGCATCATCTGCAAATTTGGAGATGTTACATTTTGTTCCCTCAGCCAAATTAACACAAATATGAATAGCTGGGGTCCCAGCACCGATCCCTGTGCCACCCCACTAGTTACTGCCTGCTAATTTGAAAAAAAAGGCCCATTAATTCCTACACTGTTTCCTCTGCTAACCAGTTTTCTATCCATCTCAATACACCTCCCCCAATCTTGTTTTAATCTTGCACAATAATCTCTACTGCGGGACTTTGTCAAACGCTTTCTGAAAATCCAAATATACCACATCGTCTGCCGCCCCCACCCCCTGTCAACTCTACTAGTTACATCTTAGAATTCCACAGATTTGTTGAGCATGATTTCCCTTTCATAAATCCACACTGATTGTCTGATCCTGCCACTGCTTTCTAAATGCTCTGCTATAGAGTCCTTGACAATGGATTCGAGAATATTCCCCACTACCAATGTTAGGTTTACTGGTCTATAATTCCCGGTTTTCTCTCTACCTCCCTTTTTGAATATTGGAGTGACATTAACCACCTTCCAATCTGCAGGGACTGTTCCAGAGTCTATAGAATCCTGGAAGATGACCACCAATGCATCTACTATTTCTGGAACTACTTCCTTAAGTACTCTGGGATGTAGATTATCAGATCCTGGGGATTTATTTGGCTTCAATCCCATCAATTTTCCCAGCACCATTTCTCTACTAATATTGATCTCCCTCAATTCTTCCCTCTCACTAAGTGTTGCATTCTCTAACATTTCTGGTATGTGATTTGTATCCGTGAAGACAGAACCAAAGTATGTATTCAGTTGCTTTGCCATTTCTTTGTCCCCTATTATACATTCCCCCATTTCTGTTTGTAGGGGATAGAGATTTGTCTTCACAAACCTATAGAAACTTAATCAGTCTTTATGTTCCCTGCAAGCTTACTTTCATATTATATTTTCCCCTTCTTAAATCAATCAGTCCCTTGATCCTTCATTGCTAAATTCTAAACTCCTCCCAATCCTCAGATTTATTATTTTTCCTTGGATCGGATACTATCTTATTTCCATTGCAAGCCTTGGATTGGCCCTCTTACCCATTTTGCTTTTGCAACAGACAGGAATAAACAGTTGTTGCAGTTCCCCCATGCGTTCCTTGAATGTTTGCCATTGCCTATTCACTGTCATCCCTTTAAGTAACTCTCCCCACAGTATCAAGACCAACTCACACCTCATAGGTTTCTTTTACTAAGGTTCAGCACCCTAGTCTCTGAATCAGCAACCTCACTCTCCACCTTGATAGAATTTATCCTGTTATGGTCGCTCTTCCCCAAGGGGTCATGCATAGCTAGATTGGCAATGATTCCCTTCTCATTACACAGTACTCAGTCTGAGATGGCCTGCTCTCTAGTTGGTTCCTCTAGACATTGGTCAAGAAAACCATCCTGTAAACTCTTCAGGAATTCCTCCTCTACAGCATTGTGGCTAATTTGATTTGTCCAATCTAAGTGCAGATTAAAATCACCCATGATCACTGATATTCCTTTATCGCATGCATCTCTAATTTCCTGTTTAATGTTATTCCCAACATCACCCACTGCAGTTTGGGGTCTATGTAGGACATCCACAAATGTTTTTTGCCCCTTGGCATTTTTTAAACTCTCCCCATACAGACTCCACATTGTCAGAGCTAATATCCTATTATGATAATTTCCTCTTTAACCAGCAATGCAACTCCACCACCTTTTCCTTGTTGCCTGTCCTTCCTAAATACAGAATACCCTGGGACATTCAGTTCCCATCCCTGGTCACCCTGCAGCCATGTCTCCATAATCCCAATTATATCATACCTATTTGTATCTATCTGTGCGATTAGTTCGTCTGCTTTATAGTAAATGCTTCCCACATTAAGGCACAAAGCCTTTAAGCTTGTCCTTTTAACATTGTTTGCCTCAGTTTTCTCAATAACCCTGTTTGAATCTTGTCCTTGGTTTCTCAGCCTATCACATCCCCTTTTCTACCTTTTATTTCTGTCCCTGCTCCCTCCTTCACTGACTCTGTACATAGGTTCCTATCCCCCTAGCACATTAGTTTAAGCCCTCCCCGACCGCTCTAGCAAACACTCCCCGCTAGGACAGGAGTCCCAGTCTTGCCCAGGTGTAATCTGTCCCATTTGTACAGGTCCCACCTCCACCCGAACCGGTCCCAATGCCCCAGGAATCTGAAACCCTCCCCTGGACACCATTATATCAGCCACGATTCATCTGGTATATCCTGTCATTTCTCTCTGACTAGCACATGGCACCAGTAGTAATCCTGAGATCACTACCTTTGAGTCCCATTTCTTCCTATCTCCCTGTATTCTGATGTTAGGACCTCATCCCTTGTTTAACCCTGTGTTGTTTGTACTGATGTGCACCACGACCACTAGCTGCTCACCCTCCCCCTCCAGAATGTCCTGTACCCGTTGCGAGACATCCCTGACCCTAGCACCAGGGAGGCAACATACCATCTTGGATAGTAGGAACTGCAGATGCTGGAGAGAGACAACAAGGTGCAGAGCTGGATGAACACAGCAGGCCAAGCAGCATCATAGGAGCAGAGAGGCTGACGTTTCGGGCCTAGACCCTTCATCAGAAACGGGGGGAGGGGAAGGGGGTTCTGAAATAAATAGGGAGAGAGGGGGAGGCAGTATTGTCTGTTTTGCAGGGGAATGGCCACAGGAGATTCCTGCTACTACCTGCCGATCTCTCTTGCTCTGTCTGATGGTCAGCCATTTCCTTCCTGCCTGCAGAGTCTGAGCCTGCGTTGTGACCACCTCTCTGCTCTCCGCCTCATGGATGCCCCACACTGTCCCCAGCCACCGCTCCAGCTCTGACCCAGAGGAGCAGGGGTGTCTGGAACTGTCCCTGGTCTGCCACATGGAACAAAAAAAGGAGCAAACCAAGATTTTGAACTCTCCTGCCATGGTTTACATCTTTAAAATAAACCTTGGAGTACTTTGTATTAGATTAAATCAAATCCAGTTATCTGTGGCCCATCTTTCCCAGCCTGCATACTACCCTTCGATTAGATTGTGGAAAGCACTACCACAAGAAATGGTTGAAGCAAGGTGATTAGATTTATTTCGGGAGAATGTTAGACAGGTGTGAGGGAGATAGGACTAGAGGATTAAGATAGAGTTAGGAGGCTTGAATGGAACTTGACCTGGATGGGTCAAATGGCTTGTCCCAAGCACCTATTCTGATGACGTTTGCATCCAGCTCACTTTTCTGTGGCACAGTGAGTTGTTAAAGGCTAAATCAGGATGTGGTCTGGATAGCAACAGGAGGAGAAACTACAGAACAACAGTTTACTTGGATAGGTTCTCAGTAGCATCTCCCAGATATTCCCCTCTGGTCTCCTGAGGGATTGCAGCTGGAGGGGGAACACAGGACACAAAAGTGTTCCTTCAGAACTGGGCTATTACACACAGGGCAGTGATTTTTCCCCCCCGCCCCTCCCCAGTATTTAAACAGAACAGGAGCTACTTGTTACCCTCTAGGAGGGGGAGCATTATTGAGCTGCAACCCTTTGTCACAGTGGTCCTGGCGTTTTGACAGGCCCAGGACAGAACAGACCATTACTCTAACTCCATTCAGCCTCAGATAGATGGAGGTAGAAGCCAAAACAATCCCAGAGACACCAAGCAGCCAGAATGATAAAGTGAGCCCTCACCTACACCACACTTCATAAGGATCCACCCAGATAGTGAGCTCCCTTGGTAGTTGCAATGAAGAATATTCGATATTGCTTTCCACACAGGCCTGGAGCAGGACTGGATCCAAAGGCTGACTCTTATTCACCCGGATACACCTTGGATGGGAAACAAAGATTAAATCAGGAGGATTCTGGACAGTGTTGTCACTGAGCTAGGGTTTAAAAAGTCTGGTTAACATCTGGCTGTTTATTCAACCTGCAGGTTATGTAAAGATAGTAAAATTTAAAAACAAAGCAAAATACTGCAGATGCTGGAAACCTGAAATAACAGCAAACTGGAGAAACTGAGCAGGTCTGGCAGCATCTGTAGAGAGAAACAGTTAATCTTCTTTGGATAGTAGGAACTGCCAATGCTCGAGTCTGCAATGACAGTGTGGAGCTGGAGGAACACAGCAGGCCAGGCAGCAGAGGAGCAGGAAAGCTGACATTTCAGAAGGGTCCCAACCCAAAACATCAGCTTTCCTGCTCCTCTGATGCTGCCTGGCCTGCTGTGTTCTTCCAGCTCCACATTGTTATATCAAATCTTCTTTGGAACTGTTCAAAGTGAAACAAGCATTAATTATTTCTCTCTCCACTCTGGAATGCTGCTCAACTTGCTGAGTTTTTCCAGCATTTTGGTCTTTCATTTTAAAAAAAATGTTAAAAAGTCAGTCACGTGATAATCCCAACACTACATGGATTATTTTGCTTCAAACTAAAAAAGTTTTCTATTTCAGAAAAAAAATTATATATAAATGCAATTGTTAAACAAGCATGATGAAAAATACATGCAGACAACTGTTTTGTAACAGTTCAGTTCACATTTTAATTCACTGAAACGTGATAGATTTATCCAACTGATATTTCAAGTTTGATCCAGACAAGTTGCTTCTCTTTGCAAAGATTTTAAGTCAGAATTGAAATATGCAACATTGCCTGTTTTTACAGGTTTATTGCCTCCATCTAGATTTCCCAGATCAACATGAAATCGAGAAGGGAAACAGACAAGAGACATTGTCAGGCCAACATCAGCTGATACAAGTCTGCTAGATTCTCCCTTCATTATCACCCCCACCCCTCAGAAGGGTACCAGGGGGGCCTTAGGACCCTTTCTCCTTAAAGATAGAGTTAGGAGTCTGTGTGTGTGAAGCTCAGATTCACTGAGGATTACAACACACCGAGTTATAGTGCATCAATATGGCTGAAGTGAGTGAACATTCCACCTGTTGATGAGTTCTACACCCACCTGGAGGTGTTTTTTTTAAAAAGTCAGCCTGTTCATAAACACACCTCAAGAGCAGGTGGGACTTGAACCCAGGCCTCCTAGCCCCAAGGTAGGGACACTACCCCTGGACCACCCACCTGTATGCTTGGCCCTTGGCTGGGTTTCCCCAGTACCAGTGATTCTTGTATTTTTCAAACAAGACTTTGGTCAATTTGCTGCAGAATTTCTCAACCTTCTTTTTGCTTAGCTTCTCATTTTTCTTCACCATTCGGGAGATAAAAACCACTGTTGCAGCAATTTCCTCTTTCATTGTCCAATCAGTAAGACCTGGAAAGTTACAACATTAAACACCATTGAACAAGTTCCCCTCAGCACAGCAAGTTCCCACAAACAGATTTGTGACCAGTTACTCTCCGATTTGGATTTTATAATCCACCCATTCAGATCACCTCTTGGAGCAGGCAAGACTTGAACCCTGGCTTCAAAAGGACAGAGACACAAGCATTGGATCACAAAGCACCACCCCCTCCCCCTTCAATCTCAGTGACAGCAGTGCCCCTCCTCCCTAGCCCAATCTATTTAAAGTTTGACTTATCTTCAATTAGGAGAGAACACCAATCATCAGGCCATTAGCCTGAATCCCATCACTAACCACACCTAGTGAAAAAGTTGTTACTTAATAGATTCTCACAATATTTAACTCAGTAATTGAGTGAACTTCACTTCCAAGTTAATGAACCACCTTGAAACACCCAGCCTACTTGGAGGCTCTACAATGATGTTGGACATTGAGGATCACAGAGAAAGCAGACAGTTTAGTTTTCCTACAATCCAGTTAGTGAATGAGCAAACTCCAGTTACAATCCTCCTCCTTGCCCTTCCCCAATGGAGATTATAGCCCACAAGTAGCTCAGAGTGACCTTTCTACTCCATCCCTGTAGTGCAGGCCAGACAATGAGATTGTTCCCCTCCATTTGGATACCTCCTCCACTCCCATCTGCCTCCCCTCCCAATCATATCCAACCCCTGTCCCTACACACACCCATTACAAATCCTTCCTTTAACCCCAGAGAATGGATTGAATCAGGGACTCCATCCCAGGGGCATTGAAGAAGCTCACAGGAGGCCTTGTCTGTCACCTTGGGCTTAGCAGAGAAACCAAATTGAAATCTTTGAATGAATCCACTCACCAAAGTCTCCTCCAGATGAGAGAAATTACCAAGTGATAAGCACAAGGCACTCTCTGCTGAGTGCTGTTCCCCACACCCTGGGTTTATCCCCTAATCAACATCATCTAAAACAGATGATTTGGTCATTTTCATTTTGCTGAAATTGTCTGCCACGTTTTGTGAGTATGTTATTGGCTGAAAGGTGCTTTGAGAGATCCTGAGGTGATGAGAAGTCACTCTGTGATGAGTGTTAGTGACAGTGACTGCAATGTGCAATTAAGCCTGTGCTCTGGGGAGAGGAGGTCATTAAGAGCTGCTCCCAACCCACTCGTAAACCACATTTACTGATCATATTTCCTAATCAACCTGTCCAGCAAAGTTATCACACATCTCTGAAGAAGGGGAAGCTGAACCTAGGCCTCCTGGTTTAAAGGTAAGGACCTGATAATACACAATGTTTAAACTTCAATCAGGAGTTGGCCCACCTTGTTGCACTGGTCCCTCCAATATTGAAAGTGCTCCTCCCACAATGAACAGGCTCCACCCATATTAGACAGGCCCCTCCCATACTAAAGCAATCACAAATGAATAAATTTTGATTAGTTGTAATTATCTCTCTGCCTTAATTAAACAGTTCATAGGTCATCCCTTCACTTGTTATTCAGCTTGTCAACACTCCACTCACACTGTTTGTACTTATCTGTTGACATTCTTAATTACCTGGAATTATTTTTCCATTATCTGGCCACCTGACAAAGGGGCAATGCTATGAAAGCTTGTGGTTTCAAATTAACCTTTTGGACAATAACTGGTGTTGAGTGACTTCTGCAAATGAATAAAACCAGGGTGAAATGATTGGCCACCATCAATATTACAACACTCAGCGTGGAGTGGTCTGATGTCCCATTTAGTTCCTTGCTGATATTCGGGTAAAGAGCCATATTCCCAGCTCAGGAGGTTTCCTTCACTGCTCCTCATTGGGGACAATGTCTTTAGCTGGCCCTCAGCTCTTGAATTCTCTCTGTCACCTCACCACCTTGCTCTCTCCCTCACTTCTTAAAGACACTGTTCAGAGCTCATTCTTTTGGTCACCTGTCCAAATTCCTTTTCTGGCTCAGTATCAAATGCTTTTGTGAAGCAACTTGGGCTGTTCTTTTACATTAAAGGAACTATATCAACGGCTGACAACAGTAAGACAGAAGTGAAGGCAGCTGCACGGTGGCTCAGTGGTTAGCCTCGGGTGACTGTCTGTGTGGAGTTTGCGCACTCTCCCTGTGTCTGCATGGGTTTCCTCTGGGTGCTCCAGTTTCCTCCCACAGTCCAAAGATGTGCAGGTTAGGTGGATTGGCCATGCTAAAGGGTCTGTAGAATCCAGGGATGTGTAAATTACATGGATTAGACATTGGAAAGACAGGTGTGGACTTGTTGGGGTGAATGAAGGTGCAGTGGCTCAAAGCCAATGGATTTGAGATGAGCAGTCACACACTCCCATATATGAACATTCATAATTTACTGGAATGGACACAAGACAGAAAGATCAGCTCACATTCTGTCCAGGGAGAGTAACTAAAGATCACAGAGTGTGTGATTGTGAGATATAGATACACAGAGAGACATGGAACAAAAGGATGTTAGAGTGTCAGAGATGGAGAGAAGAAAAAAAAAGAGACAGAGGGAGGAAATTAAATGAGGTAGAGAAGGCGATAGATCATGAGAGAGAGGAAAGATGTACAGAGAGATAAAATCTTTAATCACAGAATTATGACTGTGCAGGAGAAGCCATTGAGTCCTTATCCATGCTGCTTTTCTAAAAGAATAATTCATCAGTTTCACTCCTCCCTGTATTCCTGCACATTCATTCTTTTCAGATAACTCTCTGATTCCCTCCGGAAAGCCTTGATTAAACCAGCCTCCACTACACTTTCAGAAAGTACTTTGCAGACCCAAAACACTCGCTGTGTGAAAACATTTTTCCTCATGACTCCATTGTTTCTTTTGCCAATTTCCTTAGGCCTTTGTTCGCAATGTTTCCACCAAGTGACTAATAATTTTGCCCTGCATCAAAATTCCTAGAAACTTCCCTGCCATTGACAGACCTATTGGGTGTATCCTCACTCCATTTTGTAAGAAGGGTTTAATGTTTGCTGTCTCCCAGCCCTCTGGCACCACTCTTGAGTTGATGGAAGACTGATGATAATTGACAGTCTACCTGCAGCCTCCCCTCAGTACATTCAACACATCTCATCCAGTCTGGAGTAACACAGTGTAGAGCTGGAGGAACACAGCAGGCCAGGCAACATCAGAGGAGCAGGAAAGTTGATGTTTTGGGTTGGGACCCTTCTCGAAATGTCAGCTTTCCTGCTTCTCTGATGCTGCCTGGTCTGCTGTGTTCCTCCAGCTCCACACTGTGTTATGTCTGACTCTAGCATCAGCAGTTCCTACTATCTCTCATCCAGTCTGGTGCCTTGTCCATATTAGTCCTGTCACCGATTAATGCTCCCTGACCAGAGATCAAAATAAGGCATAAAAATCTGTGAGGATAAAATTGTTTTAAAAACTAGAGGAGAAAATTAGAATTTGAGAACTGAGTTATTGGAGGTGCAGATGAATATTGCAGTGTTACAATGTTCCACTGGAGGGCAGTTAGAGGTTGTCTCTAATTTCCAGCCTCAGGAATTGGTGGGAAGACCAAGTGATACTTTCAGTTAATTCCAAAGAAGAGGTTTAGGATTCACTGCTGATTGCAGCCCAGAGTTTTAATCTCACTTCTGCTTCTCATCAGTTTTGACTCACTGCTCTCACCGCCTGCAACACCTCCACTTGATGATTAATGGTGAAATGAGAGATAAAGTCCTGCATTTATATAGCACCCTTCATACACATGTGACATACACCATTTCACAACTAATGAAGTATTTCCAAACAGCTGTAATGTGGGAGCCCCAGAAGCCAGGGAATGAAACAAAGTCCATCAATAACAATGAAATAAATGATCTGCAAATTTACTTTAAAGCCGTTAATTGAAAGATAAATATTGAACAGAAATTGTCATAATTCACTTACTGTTCTTTCAGAGAGTATCCAGATTATTTCCCGTCCGGGGTACGGCAAACAGTTTTCATACAATGTCTCATCTGTCCAACACTCAGCACTGACCCTCCGACAGTGCGGTGCTCCCTCAGCACTGACCCTCCGACACTGCAGCGCTCCCTCAGTACGGACCCTCCGACAGTGCCCACTCCCTCAGCACTGACCCTCCGACAGTGCCCACTCCCTCAGCACTGACCCTCCAATAGTGCGGCGCTCCCTCAGCACAGACCCTCCGACAGTGCGGCGCTCCCTCAGTGCTGACCCTCCGACAGTGCCCACTCCCTCAGCACTGACCCTCCGACAGTGCCCACTCCCTCAGCACTGACCCTCCAATAGTGCGGCAATCCCTCAGCACTGACCCTCCGACAGTGCGGCACTCCCTCAGTGCTGACTCTCCGACAGTGCGGCGCTCCCTCAGCACTGACCCTCTGACAGTGTGGCACTCCCTCAGTACTGACCCTCCGACAGTGTGCCGCTCCTTCAGCACTGACCCTCTATCCGTCTCGCACACCTTCAGAACTGACACTCTGACAGTACAGCTCTCCCTCAATACTGACCCTCCGACTGTTTGTTCTCCCTCAGTTCAGACCCACTGACAGTGCGGCTCTCCCTCAGCCATGACCCTCCGACAGTGCGGCGCTCCCTCAGCACTGACCCTCTGACAGTGCGGCTCCCCCTCAGCACTGACCCTCCGACTGTGCGGCTCCCCCTCGGCACTGACCCTCCGACAGTGCGGCGCTCCCTCAGCACTGACCCTCCGACAGTGCGGCTCTCCCTCAGTACTGACCCTCTGACAGTGTGGCACTCCCTCAGCACTGACCCTCCGATAGTGCGGCGCTCCCTCAGTACTGACCCTTCAACAGAGCAGAACTCCCTCAGAACTTATCCTCTGACAGTGCAGCACTCCCTCAGTACTGACCCTCTGACAGTGCGGCATTCCCTCAGTACTGACTCTCCCACAGTGCGGCGCTCCCTCAGCACTAACCCTCTGACAGTGCGTCGCCCCCTCAGCACTGACCCTCCAACAATGCGGCGCTCCTTCAGCACTGACCCTCCGACAGTGCAGCGCTCCCTCAGTGCTGGGCCTCTGACTGTTCTGAAATTGGAATTGTCCCCCTAGAGTTGTGTTTGGATTTGCAGTGAAATTGCTGTCTCTGTGAATGGGCCTGTGGGGAGTCATCAGGAATTCTTTGACCCTCATCTCAGAACTGAGTGGTATCAGCACCTGCTCTGTTCTTGGTTTCACTCTCAACGGCCCCCATATAGACACCTGGGATGTCCTGCTCTTTTGTTAGTTTGTCTGAGGTCAGATTAAACCAACCTGCCTGGGGTAGTGCCCAGGGAATTAGGTTTTAAAAGCCCATTTCAAAAGTGAGAATAAAATTACTCACAAGGATTTGTTTGCAAATAGAGGCCACAGGTTTGTTGGACTTTGAACCACCCGATAGGCTGAGGCATTTTGAACAAGTCTGAACAGGTCTCATTTGATTATCTCAGATCCCAGCTCCTGACCGACAGGTGCCGAGCCAAACATTTCATTCAAACCTGTTTGTGCATCAAGTAAATCCCTGGGAAATGTCTGGCCCAATCGACGCACCGGACAAGGAAATTGGACAGAATGTCATCTTGAATCTCTGACCCGACACAATTATTAACAGTTGGAATTGATCTTTAGCATTTTTCATGCATCAACAGCAGCTCCCCTGTTCTCCCCATCTTCCTCAACACACTCATACCATTCCATCGAGAAAAGTTCTGCAGCTTTTTCTATTCCGGCTCTCACCTACAACTCTTTCTCTCGTGCATCATTGACATCATTGGTCTGCTTCCCTCTCTCATCCAAAATTTATCTACAGTTTAATCGTTAATCTATTATACTTCCAATTTCCACCCTGCTCTCTCCTACACCTGGTCCATCTCTGATCCTCTCTGCTCTTTCTTGAAATGTTTCAATTTCTGGGGATAGACTGGCCACCAATGTACAAACCCACCGACTCCCACAGCTACCTGGACTATACATCCTGCTTCCTGTAAAGACTCTATCCCATTCTCCCAATTCTTCCATTGAATCTATTCTGATGATGTC